ACTTGTAACCACACAGCAGAGATGATAGACTTCAGAAACTAAATTCAGCAGGTGCACACATGTATCCAAAGGGATAAACAATGGCTGTGCTTCTCCCGTAGCTTTCTGGCACCTGAGGGAACTAAACACTAAGGCACAGCAAAAACTGTTACAGTATAAGACTATCTGTCTCGCCTTCAAACAGTGTTCCAAATAGTTTCCCGTTAAAGAAAATGCACAGGTGAGCAGTTCTGGACTCTTCTGCAGCCTCTAGCTGACACATAACCTTGCCTTTACTTCAATTATTATTTAGGAAATGCTAGAAATACTTCTGGGCCTCTCAAACACCCTCTCCTCTTAGGATAACAATATGATTCATTATGTGATATTATTGTTATGGAACACAAGGACTGAGCTGTCTGCCTATAGCAGACAGTTTGGTGTTGAAATTCAGGTAAATGTAAAGTTTCTCTGCCCTAGGTGAGTTCAGTAGCAGGCTCCACCTGGACTGGGAGGTATTTTGCACAAAAAGGCCACTTCTTAAATGTTTTATCTGTATTTTACAGTAAACATAGATACGAGAGGCAAGTTCAGAACAAAAAAAAACATGCTGACTAATCATATTTTCTTTAGTATAGTTTGAATGATGTTTAGAGACGAGTAAATAATAAATCAACTCTACAACGCTTTTGTTTACTTGCTGCTTCTGTTTGTATGTACATCTGGAAACGGCGTTGCTGGGAAACTTGTCTATGCACATGGCAAAATATTAACTTTCTCATCTCTTGTGCCTCTCAAAATCCCTTGTGGTATGTTCTCACTTAACTAGTAATTGTATTTTTGCTTCACGTATTTAATAGAACAACACAGCAGCAGTGCTCTTAATTTCTTCCTTGTGCTTGGAGCACAACCCAAGTGTTGAGTGCAAGGAGAAGTGCACACAATTAGCTAATATAATTTACAGATGTGCTCACTGAGGGTTCTCTCTCTCTCTCTCTCTCTCTTAGCATTACACAGCAGGCAAGGCAATCTTAGAGTTTGGACATGCTCTCTGCTCTCACCCTAGCATGACCTTCTGGCACATACATTTCAGATGACGTAGTAATTAAAATACACTAATTTGATAATAATGCAATAACAACAGCACTCTGAAGGGCTAATTTAAAGAAAACATTTTCCTAGACCGCCAGTAAAGCATATGTAATGCTCCATAGAAAATACAGTAGCCTGTTGGTGTGCTTTCTGTGCTCTCAAGGGTATTTTTGAGTACTGATTTCATATCACAATCATTAACCTAAATCTTTGCTCCGTTTTGACTGAGAGCGCCTGACTGACAATGGCGCCTGTGAATGATATTGGATCCCTGAGGTGTAAACTTGATGAATATCTGAGGTTGTTTTGCAGAGGGTTAAGTCTGAAGCTCTTCCACACATCAAAGTATGGTGACAATTCCAAACCAAGTTTTCTATTATTTCAACTGGATTGTAAAGGTCATAGGGAATCTTTGAAGGGTTAATACATGAACAGGAGTAACTTAAGAATAAAGAGAAAAACTGACTCAGATTGCTGACCTAGATTTAACATTTCTGGTTTTTGAAATATTATTTTGTAACATCATTTACTTTTCCTTAACGGTTCACAGAAGACAGCGCAACAGGAACCACATGAAACGCAAGTGTGGGATTAAATGCAATAAGATTTGCCAACAACATTCAAACCATGCTTTATACCAACAGGTCACCAGGAAGACTGATTTTGATTTAAATACTGTTTATAATAAAACATTTTTAAATGGGTTGGATACATTTCAAACAGACTTTAAAACCTGTCTTGAGTTAACTTAAATTCTGATTTCTGGGTTATAATGACCCAGCAGAGCTGTGCAGATGGAGACTAAACAGGCTGTGAATGCCAATCATCCTGCTTGTGCAACGAGTTTAAGGACATACTGGCCTACAATCTAATCCTTCCTAGAAAGTTTGGTGCATTTTTATTAAAGGATAGTTTCTGTAAATCATTATCCAGCTTTGTTAATCATACTTGATCCCAAATGTCCATCAACCATTAAATGTGAGCCATGATGCAATGCAATTTTGCCCCAATTTCTTCTCAAGAGACAAAAAAGAAAGAAAGGAACAAACTGAGCAGTGGAAATAGTGGTTTTGAAGCCCCCAGAAGTGGAAGTGAAAGTGATGGGACAAATCACACTTCATGACCCATTAGTGTGTGTTTATTAACCCTATGCACAGCGCTGCTACATTTGAGTGTGCTAGTGTGCAGCAAGAGCAACTACTCCAGCATTACCTTAGCCTGGTAGAATCCGCTTCCGTCTCTCATCTTTAAATTAAATACATGGCTGCATTTAGAGCTCTATCTATTAGATCAGGATTTGTTCATTAGATCCATTAGTTAATATAATATGCCACTCAGATAAAGTCAAAATGTTTGGCATTTGAGTGAAAACAGTAAAAGCTCCAGTCTACAGTATGGCCACTCTTATGGATATCATATGTAAAGACTACAGACTCCCAGAGGGTGGTCGCTGGCATGGTTTACTTTCACAGGCGCATGCTTCCATTTGTCATTGTTATGCTAAACATTGCTTTGGTATAGAGGAAATTGAATTAAGGAGCTGTCCAGCAGCAGTCTTGTCCTTATCATTTCCATCAGCCTGATCAGAAACACATTGAGCTCCCACCAACAGAGGGTCAGAAAGTCATGTAACCTTAGGAAGGCAACCATTTCCTGAGCACTCCATCATGGACAGCCTGTGTTGGCTTTTGCCAGTGATGTACAGTACCATGGAAATAAAAAGCAAGTTACATGTGACCCTCAGTAGTAATGTTGATGTGGTGCACCTAAAATGTGTTACCACATTGTTTTCTTTATTACATTATTTTAGCAATTGGCCAAAAATATATTTAATTCATACAGTCTAACTGTATACATTTAATATTAAGACACATTGTACTGTGTCATTTTAAAGTACTTTCCTGATTTAATAGTGGGTATAGAGCATGAAAAGTGAAGTGGAACCTTTGTTTCGGGAGTGGTCGCCCCCCAGGTTGCCCTTAGTAGGTGGACTTCCTGTTATCTCAGACGCAATCTGCACGTGAATGACAGTGCTCCTAGTATTCATTGCTCTTGCCTATTACATTATTTTCCAGGTTAGTACATGGTAAAACGGGGCCCCAGGTTGTGTGTTTATATTGTGTATTTCTGATGTTCAAATGTTGACTAAATGTTCACAATGACTGTTTACCCCTGTGTCACTGGTTGTTATTGTTACTCTCAGCTCCTACGAACCTAGGTTAAGCAGGTGTACATACTCAGAAGTGGGTTACATGCATTTGACTGAAATGCATTTCAGTCAAATGAACAGTAGTCTTGGTTTCTGTTAACACACTGAATTGAGGAGACATGCTCTTGGGTACTGTACAACCTCTGTACCACTCTGCAGCGGGGGTGAGGGGGGTGGCAGGTTAGATGAAAACATGGAGTTTGTTCACACTATATTTTGGGAAGTTCTGGCTTTTCAGTTCCAGAAATGGAGGTCACTTTAACTTTGAGTCGTTACCATGGTAACTTAGCCTGGGACTCTAACCTGCTCGCCAAGAGGTTTTCTTCAACAAACCCAGAGTTTCTCGCAGTCCCTGCCTCCGACAGAGTGTGCAGACACTGACGCGTGTTGAGTAAAAGTATTAACAAAGTGTAAGATTTGAGTCTTATAGACTCTAGTTACTTTATAAGCTTTAGTTACTTCTCATACCTTTAGTTACCTTTCATAACTTTATCCTACTTGTTTATGCATATTACAACTGTATTGATGATTGTCCAGAACTACTGAGCTTTGGCTATTCTTAATACATTTATTTTCCTTGCTTATATATCTTAAAATTGTATTGATGAGAATCAAGTAGAATCTGCTTACTTTGAATGCTGTAAGTTCTGTGTAGAGACTAGATGTCTGCATCTCTTTGTGACCAGACAGTCTATTTACATTTTAGCAAAGGCCTGTTTTACACTCACACCTCGACCCACTTAGCATATCCCAAGCTTTGCTTTGTCTTGGGATGTCCTACAGAGGCTGGGGGCTCACCACCTGAGAGACACACACACACACACACACACACACACACACACACACACACACACACATAGCTAGATTTACC